TAAATTTTAAGATGAACCCGAAAATGACGTTTTGGTAGGCTATTTATTGCGACGAAAAATAACATTGCCAGGTTCACACAAGTGAACAACTCAAATAAACAAGTTAAATTTGCGTATTAACCGGCAGCTGATCTTAATATCAAGGATATTAGAAATCATCACAGGAACCTGTAGATTTTTATATCACTTAAACAAGATTTTTAGCTGAAAATAACGGTGCAAAAATTTTCCCCCGCTCAATATTAACGGAGTTACGGTTGTTTTAAGTTTGATTTACTTTGTTTTATTGACCTAACCTACTTGTAAGCATCGGCGTGATTTTTAAGCCTACGAAATTTTCTCTCCAGGTACTTTGATATATTACGTTAATTGTAAGTAATTAAAGTAGAAGACTCACTTTTTACCTGGAAATAACGGTGCAAAAATATCTCCGAGTTCCTTGTTTTATCTACCTTCTATTCAATGTCTTCTACTGCTGCAGTGCTGCTTGCCGTTGCCGGTTGCCGCATTACGGTCATTACGGAATTACGGACTAGCCACTCACTAGCCAGCCTTGTAGAAATAGAACTGTACGACTGTACTGACTGAACTCTTCTGAACTGAACTGAATCTTTCACCTTTCACCTTTCTGAATCTGACTGAACTGGACTGAAATGATTTTTTGTTTAACATCTATCTATATATTTAATACGCGACATGAAACTTTGTGAACAATAAGGCTTTTTTGTTTTAAGATTTAACCCCACATATTATATACCAAAATGTTCGTCTATGTTTGTAGATGTGCAAACAAGCTTTAGATTTACGAAATATATCTTTTTAAGGGCATGGCCTGCCCTCAACGTTCCTTTCATAAGGATAACATTGTGACTGATTTGAATGTTATTATATTCTGAAAAACAGATGTCAATAAATTAGTTTAAAGAAAAATAAATCCCAGCTGTTATGTTTGGTTTTGAAATGTAAACAGTTTGCATGTTTTTAAAAACTAGTGAACCTGTGCGGCTCAATGCCCCGCAAAATAACATTTAGAAAACAGATAGATTAGATTAGATAGATTAGAATTTAGAAAACAAATGCATCGTATTAGGCCTATATATTGACTCGACGTCGAAAATTACATACAGTAATAATGAAGCCTTGGAAGGGAAGCTGTCCAGCCATTTTCTAGCTGTATGTGTATTATATTTAGTAAATTAATAAGTGTTCAAGTTCAAGTATGTTATAGGCAGCAAGCAAGGTTGTAGGGTAGTTATTTTTTAAAGATTTTCAAAACACATTTAACAAAACATTTTATCATATCAAACCAATAAGCCTATGTAGCATATTTTGAGGGTCATATAAATGCTGCTTGAAGAAAACACACTTTTAAAAATAAACACTAAAAAAACAATATTTTTATCACAAAAACACTTCCATGAATACTACGATTTTAACCTTAAAGTTACCTTCAGGAAGATTACCCTGGTCAGAGTTTTCCGTAACGAATATGCGTATCCTATTAAAAGATGTAGCCTTACTTAAAACAACATATAATAGCGCTGCAAATGCCAAAGGTAACAGAAATTAGCATCTTTCCATTTTAAAAGGTAAGTTTGTTTCAGACGGTTAATTTTTATCCTCGAAATCAAAATATGTCCCCACTCACTTGTTCCAGTTAAGACTTTACATTCTATTAAGTTGTTAACCATTCTGATCACATGAAGCCTTGTGCTATTAAAGAAGCCCTTTTCGATGTATTAATATTCCTCACCAATAAAACCACTGCCCCCTTTTATTAGTCTAATCTGTGTCTTGGCAATCCACTGACCTCTATATTTAAAAACTCAGTTGGATTTTCTAGATGGGTGTCTCTGCCTTCGTCTGTTTTCAAGGACCCACTCTTCTTCCCCTTGGCATACTGACAATTAATTACCTGACTTGTCAAGTTCATGTAGTAATTCATTAATACTGTTAGTTTATAAAGAAAATTAGATAAAAGTTACTTGGCTTGGTGCTTTCATAACTGCAAAATCAAAATACACCCACAAGTAAAAAAGAATCAAGATATTGGTAAAAAAAAACTATGTTTGTGTAATAACATTATTCACATGAAGTAGATGATTTGTTTGATTTGTCGATCAGCTGTTTAGTTTCAAATGATTTAATAATGTCAACGATTTGTGATTTAAATACCGGTACATAAATTATTATAGTAAAGTTTTCTAAATCATGGTAAAAAATTTTACTATTCCCAGCATTAAAATAAAGTAGTAAGATCCATTATGGGTAAACTTTAAGGTACACAATCCTCGGTGGGGCACACGGGAGGGACTAAGGCTAACATATCTTGTAGTGTCAGCGTTCGCCGCTAGAACTGCTAAGTTGAAATAATTTAAATTATTTTTTTTTTAGTTATAAAATTAACTTTTTAATTATAAAATATTGTTTTAAAATTATAAAATAAATTTTTAATTTTTAAAATTAAACTGTCATAACATAACCTAACCAACCAGACTTGCTGATAATATAAATACTATATAAGATAAAAATCTAATTAATAATTACTTATAATTTTTAATTAATTATAAAATTAATTTTAAAATGTAGTATTATAAAATTAAACTGTCATAACCTAACCTGACCAACCAAACTTGCTGATATGAAAAATTTGTTGACAAAAAGTTAGTGCTACCAGCGGGATTCGAACCCGGGACCTCCTGCACACCAATCCGAAACGCTACCAACTATGCCACGAACGCCGCTGAAATCACATCGTTTCGTAACGGTAATCGTGTCGCCTCAAGAGAAGACATTACCCACTAGAGATATGACGTCACTACACCTTTAGCCTTAGTCCCTTCCGTGTGCCCATTCCCACAATCCTTGATTGAAATGTAGTAGGTATACACATTGAGAGTCATAATACACATAAATTATTATGTAGTAGTCTTTGACTATTTTCAAGTAACAAACATATGTTTTTGTAAACAAAAATTATCTCCCATGTTATCCTTATGGAGAAATACGAAACTTTAAAGGGCTCTAGGGCCTCACTCTCTAATTATTTCCCTAAAAAGAAAGTTTCCTGCACAACTTCACGTTACCCTCTTTCCAATGACACCAAAAACATATCAATCGGTTCAGTAGTTTCGGAGGAGTAATTGTCACAAAAAACCTGCTTGCGTATTAAATAAGTATTAATATATAGATATAGATAATAGATTATAAACCCTGCAAAGAAATTTTACCTATAGGACACGACGGGAGAAATTTGTTATATTATAGTTTCTATTATACATGCCAAGGATCCGACGGAAAAGAAATATTGCCGGTCGGACACGGCGAGTCAACATACGGCAATCAATGCAAAACGTAAGGAGCCCAGACGAGGAGCTGGAACAGTTAGTGGCAACGTGTACTTACAAAATTGTACTGACTAATACAAGAATTCAGCAGCATTCGCTTGGCGAGATGAAGAAATGTGGTGCGCTAAATTTTAAAGAAAAAAAAAGAGGACGAGGCGAAGGATTTTCATCCTGCTGTCATAAAGGAAAAGTGCATCTACCACCATACCGAGAAAGCCGGTATATCCAGACAGGGTGTCCACCAGGCCAACCAAAAAAAAATTCATGAGTAATTCAAGAGAAAAAAAATCCAGTACCGGTAGTACAGACATAGACTAACCTGTTTTATCTATGGTACAGAGTTCGTACTTTTCAAACTAAAATTTCCAACGTGTTCTGCGCCAACTCTCGCATTGCTGTTTTAGCGCTAACACAGCTCGCTATTTTAGTTATCGGATAGAGCATTCTCAGTTAAAGAAACAAAATTTATGATTACTGTAATATTGCCAGACACAAGTATTCAATTTTTACTAGTTTTATTTAATTTACAATCTGTTCAATAAAAATAGAACAATAAGCAAATATGATAAAATTTAAACACAGTAGTTAGTCTTTATCCAACAATAAAGCTAACACACAAACTTTGCATATTGGTACGAAGTTTAAAGTCCATAAATCTCTAAACACGACTACTCAGGTCCAAAACATGGCATCTTTTCAATCTATACAGTTGCTGTTGTCCAACAAATTCAAAGCAAGGTAGTTGGGATGGTACTCTAATTTCTTTAAGTATTTGGCACTTAACCTTGAAATTTCTTCTTTGGCCGTTGGGGTTCGACTCCGACTGTCTCTATGGAGCACTTCGTTGAACCATTCACCATTTACCAGACACGTTCGAACCATGGTGCCTGGAGAATGTGCCTTAGAACCTTGGATTGGAATCTTTGGATGATGTTCAGATTTGATTCACTGGATGTCCCCCACAGTTGGATACCATACGTCCATACTGGTTGTAAAATAGTTTTATATAAAAGTAATTTATTTTCTGTTGTTAATTTAGAATTTTGATTTAATAGCCAAGAAAGATTTTTAAATTTTAAATTTAACGAAATTCTCTTGTTCCAGATGTGGCTTTTCCAAGTGAGTCTTCTATCAAGAACCAAGCCCAAGTATTTAACCTCATTGCACTGTGGGATTTGATTTGAACGTTGTTTAGGGTAACTGGAGGACACGTGTCTAATCTTGTTGTAAAGGTTGTATGGACCTTTCCCAGTGCACGTTCCCAATAAACAGAGATATCATATTCTTTTGGTGGTCATGAAATCTTAGCAAGAAGTTTCATTTTACGATTTTTAAATGTCCCACAAAAAGAGGGGGATTTTGGTGGCAGCATAAATTTGACATAATACTCCTATCAAAAGGGTTAAGGCTTGTTAGATTCATTTACGCTTGGGCGCGTTGGGCTATAGGCGGCCGTGGCTATAGTTTATATTTTATTTTATGCAGTAATGATGTATATGGAGTAGGAGAACTTTTACTTTCTATTCAAACGTCTATGACTCATAATAGGTAATTTTATGCAAATGTCAAAAACCATGTGTGAAATGTACCTTGACAGCTACAGCGCTACAGCCCATTTCCGGAATATTCTTCCTGCTGCTGGTCGATTCTCGACTGTCGATTTAAGATTCTCTAGGTTACGTTACGTTGTTCGTTGTTGCAATAATTCTAGTTTCAGTCGCAAGTCCTTTTTTGAACATAATATCGTAATACGTCATTAAAACTTCAGGAAGTTGTAGGTTGTAGTAGTTTAGTTTGAGTTTCTGTCTACACTCTACTCTGGACTGAGGTTGTCGTTGTAATCTAAACTAAATCTATCTATCAAACATCTACATCACACATCTATCTTGTTGGTTGTAGAACGTTTCTGTAAACTTTTAAAATCAATTTTTTTGTATTCTTTGTTGAAATAGTGCCTTAAATATGGAATTCAATTACAACTTAAATGAAATCTTCCAAAATTATATTTCCAAAGTATGTAACACTCTGCTACCAGCGGATTTCAACGGTGACAGAAAAAGAGCATCGTAAGTCTTAATCTCATATTAGCATTAAGTTATGTTTTAAACTTTCCTATTCTAGGTCAATCATCTTGCCATAGGTCATTTTATATTTTGGCCATTTGTAGGCTAGTGGTTTCATATATTTCGCCACAGAACAGTTGTTTGTGAATACCCACGATTACTAGAAAAAACTTTATTAGATGGTTTTTTCTAGTAATCGTGTGAATACCTATAGGCCTAGTCCTACACACATATAAGTTAGAGGCCTATAGGCCAAGGCCTAGCTGTTTTTGTAGTAAGGTGATTAAAACTTTCCACTGCCAAAATCTGTTTTGAACTCTCTAGTTTTTCAAACAAGCCAATTTCTCTCGCTACATAGGCTAATACTCGCTGAAAATTTTTTTATACATGAAAATGAATCCTCAGAATCTCATATTTCTAATGGTAGCCTATAAGATTTATTGCGATTTAAAACGGTTTTCATAAGTTAATTGATTATAGAAAACCCTGAACCATGTCGTCTTGGTCGATAATCGACTAACGCCACTGAGGACTCACGTTTTAGTGGTCGATTATCAACCAGCGCCAGATCTAGGGTTAAGTTAAACCTACTGGTTGATGAAATACCCACTGTAACTTAGGCCTAAGTTCAGTTGGCCTACCATTAGAACAGCACAATGATAAACATATGAGTCCAGTTTAAGTTACTTAGTAATGTGGTAACTACAGAGACAAATGAATCTTTTGATGATGCAATCATGTGAATCTTGAGTAGGTTGTGCACATTTGAACGTCAATTCAAGGTAAGGTTTAACCCTTTGCGGTCTGTCCTAATGGTGTCTCGCTAATGTTCTTTTAGGTAGCCTATCTTAGGCCACTCATAACTTGGTGCCCAGAATCATTCCTCAGTCAAGTATGGTTACACGCCAAGTATGGACAGACGCAGTTACGCCCCGCGTCTGTCCCTCAGATACGTTAGGCCACTCAGTGTGCCCACTAGCGATATGATCAAACGGTCTCTAGGCCACTCATAGTGCCCAAGTTATGAATTTTTGTCTTTTAAAAACTGTAATTGTGTCTAGCTCCCTTGAAGATGCTGCACTCTGTTCAACGTTTAGCCTATTTAACCATATTACAAATGTGCCATTAAAGCTAGTGTCTAGCCGTCTGTTTAGAAATCACAGTCAACAAGCAGTGGTTCTCATTGGGCCCAACTTATACTATATTAGGATATAGGCCTATATTTTCATTTTCGTGCAGTTAGGATATTGTATGTTTAGTTTGATTTTTATGTGAGTTGTGAAGTTACCTAATTAATAATTTAAGTATGAATTCTGACAATAAAAGGGATTTACTGGATGACGTTTTGGGATTTTATATCAAGTACTTTTTTATTTGTGTTTCAAACTTTTATAGTAGTAGAAACATAGCCTACATTTTATTTTAAACGTAGGCTATATGTTCACTTCACTTCAGCAAACAAGTTTCCAGAAATAGCTAGCCTATACTTACTGAGGACAGCTGTTCAATATGGCATCACACCTGACGCCAGAACAACAGTGGGTACTATAAGAGGTCTAGTGTATCTCTGAATACAACAGGGTAAATTTGATGCCATATCTAGCTTGAAATGGACAGTGGGCACTTTTAAGTGGCCTATAGACCGCAAAGGTTTAAAAATAGCCCCTAAGTAATATGCCTAATTTATTGACCCCCATTCATGAAAGGTGAAACACTTTTTTGCTTACCTTTACAATTATTTGAATCATTGTACAGTCTTACTTAGCGACTTATAATTTCTGACCTTTATCAGACATGTAGCAAGCCAAGTGGCGGATATAGTAGACTCCATGGGACTGGCCTCAGCCAAAGCACAAGGCCTACACCATCCTATCACCAGTGCAGAGAAATCAAGAAACTGTGATCACACTCTCTATATCATGATTGACCCTAGGGAAAACCAGTAAGTACGCTGTATTAGCCTAGTGTTATCTTTCGATATTCTCTTGCCAAAGGTAAAAGATTTGGAATAGTCCTAATAACTTGACAATGTGTCAGATCCTATGTAAAGACAGTGGTGACATCTAGGCCTAACTTAGCTTTAAGTTAATTAACTGTTTTTGTGTTAATTAACTGTAAATGTTTCTAAATGAAATACAGCAGAAACTTGACTACCTCCTCAATATTATAGGTACAGTATAGTCCTGCAAACTCAGGACTCGATAACCCGGCAGTCTGGATAACTCGGCCATCATCTGGCTCAGAAAATTTGTGATTTTTTGAGTCCGAGTTAAACATGGACACAAGCCAGCTTAAGTATAATCATTTGCAACTCATACTAAGGATTTGTTGTACTATATCTGATGACTTAATACTGACTTGTAATACTAATTAAAAAAAGGTGTTTAAAAAGCTTAATAACTGTATTGTTCTTATTTTTAACTCTAGTTCCCAATAACCCGGCATGTCACAAACTCGGCACCCCTCCATTACGCCAAGTACATTACGCCGAGTTTGCTGGACTCTACTGTAATCATATTTTAAATAGAAACTTCTTTAAAATCTATCCATACAAGGTACAGTAGGTTAAATTAGGCAGTAATTTAAATCTACTATCCGGTCCTCAGTTTTAAAGGTAGGCCTATAACTATTCCTGGTATGGTCCATTTCAAGCCAATCATATGTAGGTCTACACTATTTTTAAAGCCCCTATTTTATTTTTTACCTTGAATAAATTACCGGCAACTATTTAGTATGACTACATTGGGATATGATGTAATTTTTATATGTCTTCTTAGCAAACAGATTACAGCAATACAGTGACAGTATCAATTTGGTATTGGTGATGCGCTCATCTTATTGTAGAGACATAGACTCTACTCCTTGTATTTTATGAGAATAAATTAGGCTACATTTACTGATGACTAGCTGGCCCGACAGACGTCGTCATGTCCTAATGTGGTTTTATGTCAAATGTTTGTTTGTTTTCAAGATGAGCTCATTCGCATTGCCTAATCACGTCCTGGTTGAAGTTCGTTTGCTACACTTGCTCACCTTTAGGTTGGAGCTCGTTCGCTGCTCTCACTTGCCTTCAGGTTTAGCTTGTTCGCTACGCTAACTAGCCTCCAGGTTGAAGTTTGTTCGCTATGCTCACTCACATTTTGGTTGCAAATTAGCTGTTGTCGTAAATTTAAAAAAATAATAGTGCTGCACCCTGCTGGTACACCTATTATCTTTTTAATGCAATTGAACATCACAGAATTAAATTGTTTCGTTGAACCAGCTGTTAAGATTCTATAATTCTATTTAAATATAAGTACTCATAAGGTTAACATGGGAAACCCCAGAACCACTAGGGCGAAGCCCTTTTGACGGATCTGCACCAAACTTCACACAAACCTTTCCGGGGGTGTATACAACAACTTGGCCGGTTTGGTAACACATAAAGGACAAACAAACGGACAAGCATACATTGGATTTTATATATATAAGAAGAAGAAGATTAATGTTGACGTTATTAATAGTTGATGTAAGTTATTGTTTTTGTAATACTGTATTTTCGGAACGCCATAGAAGTCCGTTAACTTTTGCAAATTGACTCGGAACAGCTGTTTCCACTCACAAACCTTCCTCCCCTTTCAGTGTTAGTCTCCGCTAGAACTTTGACTCGTCTAAACCACAAATATCTGAATAACTCAACGAAACTGAACCTTGATATTATAATTGTTTAATTGTACGGCCTCTTAGGAATCTCTCCGACAAAAACTGATTGCATTTTTGGATTCAGCGTGAAAAAACTGTAAGTAGACATCTAAAAATTACATCCTATCCCAATGTAGACTTAGGCTACTAAATAATTACCCAATTTTGTTCTTGGGTAATGTTGAGCTGACATTGAAGTTTGAGATGTTTACATCAGTTTGTACTTGAGGATTATTTTCATATACAACTTCAAAGTTGGTAACTGAAGTTTACTAGCCTCTGTAGGGATTTCTAAATCCACTCTGGTCTTTAGGAATCTTTCATCCTGCTTGGTAAAATTTAGTGAAGGCCAAATATTTAGTTTAAACTTGTAATTTGCAGTGGAAACGGAAGCGTTGTCGGTATTCTGAAGATGGGAGTGAAACATTTGTTCCTGTTTGACGCAACTGGCATGGTCCATGAGAAGGAGACGTTGTGCGTACTTGACTTCTATGTCCATGAATCAAAGCAGAGGACTGGACTAGGAAAGATAATGTTTGACTATATGTTGGAGGTATGTTATAACACTGTCTAACTTACTTTACTTTGTAAACAAATTGGTACCTATTGTACTTTTACGTCTTAAAATGTTAGTATTGATTGTGTTTTTATAGAGAATTCTTGGTCACTAAATAGCTCCATGTGGGTTTGGACTTGCTACAATGCAGCGTTGTTGCCGTGTTTCCATCTACTGGACCCTTATTAATATCACAGAAAATATGTCTGTGATAAACCGTTAATTTCATCGTTAAGTTAGAAAAATCTATCAATCATTGGTCAAATGCCATTTTTTGTGGCCAGACATCAAGAATTAACCCTTAACAGGTTCAGTCCCAGCTGTCACACTCCCCTGTATGAAGAGTCTTCAGATAAACGAGAGTGAGTGTGTTAAAGTAGGAACAATCCTAGTTTCTCAAGAAATATTGTTATTAACCATTGAATCATCTTCAAACCAATTTTATTAATCTGAATGTCCTTTTTTAGCCAAATTTGAATTGGTTTTTTTTTTCAGGATAAAGACACTGTGCCTTGTAAACTAGCGATTGACAAACCATCTCAAACATTCTTGTCCTTCCTGAACAAGCACTATGGGTTAGCAAAGATATACCCTCAGAACAACAACTTTGTTCTGTTTGAAGGCTTCTTCGATGAAAAACGTGGTGAGTGTATTAGATTGTTTTAAACCTTGTATATTATGTGTGTATGGATTATTTGTAACTAAATAATCCCAGCTGATTGTTAAGAATCACAATTCTTAGCAGTTTTCTGTTTTAAGCTCATCTGGGGTTGATTTTTGTTTAGGCCTATGCTTCTAACACACGTATGTTTTACAGATGTTTCTTCCTCTCTGGAATCGCTTGAAAACTCGTATGTATCCGAGAAGTCCAGGCATGAAAAGGAGGTTCGCGACAACAATCAATCTGTAACTGACAGACGGTATGTATGTTCTAAAACACAACTACGTTATTTTTAACAAAAAATTGGCTACAGCTGGTCCATATAGGTGGGACGTCTAGTAGAACCTTCTTTGGAAGCAATCAACTTAAATGAATCATTTTTGGACTGTGGGAGGTTTAATTGTTGGAAGTTTAATGGGGATTGACAATTAATCAATCTTGTGGATGTGTGGGTCGGGTGAGTAGTAGACAATAGACAAAAGACAAATTCTTTATTCCTTCAACAATATACTCATATTGTAATAGACATTGTCAAACTTAACTAGCAATAACAAATAACCAGGCAACAAACATTTGTTCTGTCAGAAGGCAAATATAATACATAAATAAATGCCACAAAAATACAATATCTAATCTGTCTACAATAAGGCCATCTTAACTGCAACAAAAACTCACATTTCATAAATTCATCTATGTCATAAAAAGGATTTTTTACTATCTTTTTTACTAGTACATCTTAAATTAATAATCTTAGTCATTAAGTCCTGCCGTACCGATGAAGAATTGGATGGTCTGCTTTGACACAAATGAGTTACCTCAGATTTTATATTTGTTTATTCAAACAATTTCCAACAGCTAGAATATGGAAAGAGATTATGTACACATGTGTTATTTATTTGTTATCATCCATAGTTTTTCTCCCTTTAAGTTTAATGGTCTTAAGTGTTTAACCATGGTGTATGTAAACATAAAGATGTAGATGTATGTATACATGTAAGATAAAAGTGTATCTTGTTAATTTCACACTAATCCTACACTCATTCTCCCTCAATTACCATTGATCTCTATGACTACAACTGGATCGCAGCATGTTATTTCTTACGGTGTTACCAGGTTTGTGCTCTCAGAAATCCTCTCTCTTAACTTCTGTATTTTAAAGTATTTTTTTGTAATTTTTATTTAACTAAATAAATACCAAACCAGATCTTTTTCTGAGGGGAGCGCCTGATCGATACAAGCCTTGGAGCCTAGTTGTTTTGAGCATGATCTTGCAGTTAAAGTGACTGAAGCCAACTAATATTATTACTTCTGCGAGGATTTATTATGTTGATTAGTTAAGTTTGCTCTTGATTTCAGTGAACGGGAAGACTACTTGCCACACCTGTATGGCCGGCACACTGCATTCAAACCGCATGACACCATGGGAGACGTAAGTCATTGCGGAAATATTCAGTATTGTAGTACATCAGTTAAAAATAATGGGGTCGTAGCTGACAACTTTTTTTTTGTTGCCTATGTTCTTAAATAAGATGTTTGTGTGTCTCTCTATGCAGTTTGCCAGCTTGTGTGGGTTTGCTAAGCTATTTTCTATCACTAACACCATAGTCTATTTATTTACACGTCACTGTTATCGTAGTCAGTTTGAGCGAACATCGTGGCGACGGACATGCTTGAGAGTAGAGACACAACAGGAGGTAAATCTTTCTCCATTTTATTTCTTCGCCGTTTTACTTCTTGTTCGCTTTATCCAACTGCTATATCAGTTACATCTGTAAATAAAGAGACTATAGTTTTAGTGAAAAAAAAGATAGCTTAAGAAGACCTTTAAAAGATGCTACAAAAGCTGGAAAAATGCATAGGGTTACACAAACATATTATTCGAGAACATAGCCAACAAAAAAAGGTAATCTTATATAGTTGAAGTTCTTAAACCTGGAATAGCAAAAAAAAACTTGGTAACATAAAAAAATGTCTTGCCTACAAAATAGTAAAACCCATTGTATTTAGGGTGTTAGAACAAAACGTGGGAGCTTTTTAAAGATTTCAATGTGCTATCAAAGGCACTTCTCTTTTTCCAGAATTGTGAATTAAAATCAAATTTAAATCAAGCCAAAGTTAATTCACTTAATTATAGTATTGTTTACCAAAATAATCACCACTGGATTTTATCTAAGTGATAATGCCGCGCCTTCTAGGCTTACCCTGAAGTAATGTGTTAAACGGTTCCAGACTTAAAAGTCTGACTGTAAATTCTATTTATCTTCTAAGATTTCAAATTTGCGCAGTTGCCTATGTCCCTTATCTGATTACAGATTATTGGGGACGGTTCAACTGGTCACAACCAGTCTCCGACCAGGAATGGGTTGGTATTCTGTTTTGGAATTAGAAGCATTTTGCACCAGGGCACGGGCACTGAGCATGTCTATATAGAGTAGTCAATGTTTTAGCTGATAGAAGTGCTTGTGTACGCCATTGCTTTGGTAGAAACGAGTCGTAGGTGTCTCTGACAATGGGTACCAGTAGATGATTCAATATCGTATGACATGTTTAAAAAATTATGGCTGTTGAACGATCGGTTGAAGTGTGATTATACCACAGCTGTTTTGACCACAAGGAATGGAGCATGTGTTCAAGTCAGAATGTCTATGCTATTGAATTCCTCATGGTGGAGTTTGTCAGAAGTTTTAAATTACAGTATTTATTTATTTATTTCCCACGGTTAAACCAATTTTACAAATTTGTGAACATCAAGATGGTAGCCAAAGATGTTAATACTAAATAGAATATTGACTTACAAACTGTTGATATACAGATCAGCAATAACAGTTACACATAATGGTTCAAAAATAACAATTTAAAATTCTAAAATGCAAAGCAATACAACCATAACAATATAACATTCAATGCAGTAGCAACAAATATAAATAGAATATTAGAAATTACGTAACAAAAACATAACTGAATCAACAAATATAAATAGCAATAACAAATAGCAAATAACAAATATAAATAGAACATTGATAATTTTTCAATACAATAGCAACAGATAATAACGAGAATACTCAAAGATAACATAATTATTTGCAGCATTATATTGCATGATTTAAAAAAAAAACCACAGGGTGGTAGAACCCCTATCCAGCCATGACAGGACCAGAGAATGGTCGGAAAGGTTTAAAGGTCGGATATCGGAAGGAGCATTTTTCGCGATATCGGCGACAACAGTAATCGTCTCCCGCGATCCCAGCAACAGAGGATATCTTGCGATATTGGCAACACAGGTTAATCTTCTCCCGTTATCACGACAACACCCGTGAGGATATCCTTTTTCTTGATGACATTGTTTACGTCTCCTACGATCACGGCAACACTTGGAGCATATACAGTGGAACCTCGATAACAAGACCCTCAATAAAAAGTTACCCTTGATAACAAGTGTCATTTTTAAATCCATTAAAATGTATTTTACCCCTAATCACATGTTATTGCAAACCTTGATAAGAAGACAACCTTGCTAACAAGTCTTATTTTATAATCCCCATGAGAGTCTTGTTATCAAGGTTTTAACTGTATTGTGAATTCGCCGGCACCGGTAATTGTCTCCCTCGATCATTCGTCTGCCTCGATTATTGCAACAACCTTAATCAGCCTTTCGGTTATCCAAACACTCTCAGTGCAATCGCCTATCAGGTAACAAGTAGACAGTTGGACACTGTCGGCTATTCCGAGGAGTCGGTTATGCCGAGGTCGGATATGAGGGTTCAACTGTATATAACTTTTCGTTTACCACACCATGAGGGATTTTAATCATAATAACCTAGAGATTCTGAACTGAAGGTGTGCTTTATTTTCCTCATCACGAAACAACTATAGTAGAATCACAGCAATGGATTGTTGTGACAGCCCAGGTAACCTTTATGGGAATTCTGACAATTTAGAGGCCAATTCATCTGACAAGTTTGACTGTCCATTATAGTGTGCTGCTGTTGACTGCAACACACTCTCGGTTGGAGATTTTAGTGATTTTCATTGGTTTAGAGTCGCAGTGAAGAACACAATATTTATTTTAGTTTTTTTTTTTGCACAATGAGATTAAGAGATAGGCTTAATGTGTTGCAGCTTTGTTTCTAAACCTTAGTAGCTATGTTCCGTCCGTGTTTCAGAGTTTGAACTTTTTAAGGAGTTGAATTTATGTTACTTGTACCCTTAGAACAGCAAAAGATGAAGAGATCAAAATGTGTATTTTTCTTGTGTTGTCAGCTAGACATGTTCTTTGTGGTATAGATTTCGTGCAACCAAATTAAGCTCTGTATAACCTAATATGCATTTAAATTCCGTTTCTTAAAATTTAACTGCAGTGAGATTCATCTTAGTTTTTACTGAAACAGTTGCTTTCCTTGAAACTGAAGCAATTATGGAAACAACAGTTGCTACAATACAAAAGGAGATGAACAGTTGACAGTAGCACACGAATGCAGCTTGAATGCTAGGTTGAGAAATATATTTGAAATCCCAAGTTTAAAAACCCAATATTGGTCCAGTATAGATACAGTAGTTAGTTTGATTAGTAGAGTACCGAGTATAATAGAACAGTGGTGGTGTATTGGGTTGATAAGGCGTACACTACTGGCCACCTGCACTACTACTGCAGTTGCCTGTTGGTTTGTTTATATGACTCTTCACTCTCTTCAGATCACTTTTCACTACATAGACTTGTTAGGCAGTTGAGGTGAGAAAAAGGTTAAGAAAAAGAATTAAAAGTGTTGCTCAATGGATATTGTAACAAAATAAGACCAAATACTACAAAGACCTCAGGAAATTAAATTTATTTATTAAGGATTGTTTGGGAGGTTACCATATTTTTGGGTTGGGTTGAAGCCTGTTGGGGAACTTTGGGTAATCACTATAAAGTATAAATATTCGTGTGGATGTTTTGTTGCTAAAACCAAACTTCGGTGTACAGTCGGTATGGATTGAACTTATACAGCCTGTTACATATTATGTTGGCATGTTTGTTATTTTCTGTGTATATATGTGTTTTATGTATACAGTAGAAACCCTCATATCCGACCCAGTGGTGACTGTCTACTTGTTACCTGATGGTGTTAGCATCGAGAGGTGTTTGATTAACCGAAAGGCCGATCACGCGTGTTTCCGTAATCGCAGCAAACACCGGTGTCACCGAGACAACAACACATTCTTGCGGGTTTCTGTGATCACGGGAGACCATTACCGGTTTTGTCGATAATGCAAGGTAATGCTCACGGTTGTTGTCTTGATCATGCGGGATGATTACCAGTGTTGTCGAGACCGCAAGATATGCTCCTCCCGATATCCGACCTTGCCTCGGTCCCATTAGGGTCGGAAATGAGGTATTATACTGTATTGTATGTTTTAAACAGGGAATTTTGTATGACTTTGTATTGTATGCTTAGTAAAGTGATGGGTATTACATTTCCAAGTATTATGTAGCAGGATTAGCTTATGTATCATGTATTTTAAAAGGGTTTAGTTTTTAGTTTTCTTACAAAAGTTCTGGTTAAAATATACCAAGATATCAAATAAAAAATGTTATTTAATGTAATGTAATAAAGCAATACTTCTCTTTATCGGGTATTGGCCAATGATAAAATTTAAATGAGTACAAGGTAAATTGGTAAACACTTAACATATATTACTTCAGGTGACTAAAAGTTTTTTTGTTAAAAAAAATTATATGAAGTTTATGACTTTTAAAATATTTTCCAATGTTTTCGCTGAACACTTCAGATATATTGTAAGTTTTAGATTACATTATAACCAGAGGGAGTCAAAGTTTTTTTTTTACTTAAATTTTAAGGTGTAAAAAATTTGTATGAAAAAAATCACTTTATTTATCTATACAGCAGCGCCGTGATAATCCTAAATACTAAAGTTTAAAAACAGCTTGACAAAAGTATCTCTTTCAATAATTAATTATGGCTGTGATTTTCTTCAAGATTCGTGTTACATTGCAAAATCTGTAGACCTATCTAAATTATTCTAGCCGCCAGATTTAACTATTTTTTTGAAAACAGATAATTATTTTTATTTTGTAACGATATTAAAATAGTTTTATTTTGATTTCCAATTTAATGTTCACTTTGTAAAGATAAAAACCATAAAATTTGGTCTAAAACCTCTCCTACTATTTCAACTTCAAGTTACTAGTTATCAACCTCTGCAGCGTTACTATGTTAGGACTAATAAACTATTAAAACGTTGTTTTTTCAACACATGCAGTTTATATTTACATAAAAATACTCAAAATGTATCCGAATATATATGAATCTTACTGACTTCCAAACTAGTGTACATGTTGCTCGAATTCGAGCAATTGCAAAGTATTATAGTCACCTACAAGATGAAGATTCCTACAATTGACGAACGAGGTCGTTAGCCGAATTGGTTTCTGTAAAAGTCAAGTGATTTTCAAAGAATATGACAATATTCAAGAAACCTTTACTAAAACTTTCATTAAATGATTCAATTGTTATTCACAATTGAGGGAAACGAAAAATCATATGAACAACATCAGGCCTTTAACTTTGCATTTTCTCACGTTAATATAATGATGTTATTAGAACAATCAACCAAAAGACTTAAAATTGTTCAAATAAAATTGTGACAGACAGGCTATGCAGGAAATCAGGTAGTTCTTAAGTAATGTGAAGATATTTAATCACAGCTTTAAAAAATTACTGAAATTTGTAACATACTGGCGACAATTATGGTACCATGCAGGCGATCAATGACGAAGATACACATGGACATCCTTATGCGGTTATGTGTAAGTAGGGAAACATTTGTAGAACACACTAAAATATATGATCAGTTTTTGAAAAATGATAAAATATTTACAAGACATATTGATAATATTGAACCGGTATGGACAATGTGAGTATTTCCATTAGTTACATAATCTCTGAATTTACTCTTTTAACTCATCGAAAATTATGACTGTTATCGGTTTGCAAATCCTGTAATACTTTGCAATTGTTCGAATTCGAGCAACATATACACTAGTTGTAACTTAAATATTAACAGCAATTAAATTATCCAGCTGATCATAATGTAAACAAATATATTCTTCATAAGGATAACATGGGAACTTTAAAAGCCATTGGGGCAGAACCCAAGGAATTTTTTCAAAAATTTAAGGTCAGTTTGCAAATTTAAGCGACACGCTCTTTCTAATGAGACGTCAATGGTCAAAATAGGTTAATAAATGGCGTAGGAGTTCAAAGGACAAATTTCATGTTGGCGTATTAATTATATAGATTTAGAGTAGTTTGGCAAAGGAAATACAGCTACAGTATGTTTGCAAGTGCCTCTTTTTAATTTTAAAGATTGTAAATGTTTGTATGTGCTTTTGTTTTATTTTTTGTTGGTAATACAGTTTGTGTGTGTTTTTTTAGAGAATAACCTGGCTCACTCCGTCCGACATGAACCAACACTCCGCTCTCTGGTAGAGAGAGTTTTCCTGTAACGTTTATTTATTTTTACGATATTACATTTTCACTTTGTAAATAGCAGTTTTTTTACTTACTTTTAAGTTAAAAGGAATTGGTGCGGTTGTTTATATTCATGCACCCATTATGAATAGTTAGTTTGCAAATTTTGGATAGCAGTCATGTTTAACTTAATTTTAGTGAAGGTAAGGTTAAGTTGGTAATCAACGATTAACTGTTTACTTTTAGTTTATTCATTGACGGCTAGAGTACGCCAATGGTTCACTGTACGCTATATGTGATTTAGACTATATTAACGTATATTTAACAAATTTATTAATTTAATTTGGTTTTGTCTCTTTTTTTATCTGTACTTGTTAATATTTGTACGCACAGTTGAAGGCATTGAGACAAAGTGAATTCCCAAAGGTATTCGTTTGATGTGCTACCTATCTTTTATTATTTGTCTCGCTATCCTTTTTTTAATTTCTATATTTAACTTTGAGTCTGAGAATTTTGCTGAGTTTATAAATATATTTTATGTCAGTAAATGTCTGTAATAACATTTTAACGGTGCGCTTAAACGATGCATAGATAACTTACCATTCTATTTATAACCATTTTGTGGTATTCAAATATAATGTTTTACATCAAGCTTTGCTTTGTGATTCTGACATTTATTGATACAGGGTTTTCCCGTTTTCCCCTATAAGAGGTTTGTGCTAGTTAACACGTTTGCTGCAGCCCACCAACCCCACAGCGTACTGCCCCGCTGCGGTGCAGTGTCAAGCGAACCCGTTTGGCTTTAAAATATTTCTGTCTGACGAATAGCAAATTACGTGCGGTGATGTGCTGCATTACGACGAAAGTCAACGTAGTTTGCTGAAACACTCACAGATAGCAGCACTGTCTACAACTAGCCGGTCCCATTGTATTGGAGGGAGAAAGACGTTACAAAAAGTTCATTTTTAAGCTTGCCAGAAAAGGGATTTTAAGGGGAAATTTACTATTAACCTACACCACAATAAAGCACCCATTCCTAGCTAAACGCAGACATAAAAATACCCGTTCCTCCTGGTATGCTGCTGCGCAGAAATTGAATGAAATGCCGATGCCGACACTCACCGGTGAGCATTCAGCGTGGCAGTAAAGAACTAGAGCACTCACCAGTGAGTGGCCCGCAGCAAACGTGTTAAAAAAACAAAGTTGCAAACAATTCATTCCTTCAGGTTATTGTTTTGCAAGTTTTAATAACCATTGTTACGTTGAAATTAAAAAATATATAATATTTCAATTAAGAGTTTATTGCAATTTATATATTTGTTGAATTTTTTAAATGATTGGTTATTGTGTTAATATGTTAAGTTTTTCAAGTAAAGGGATCCAATTTTTACAGGTGAGAAGTAAGCAAACTTCTTTTGGGTTAGTCTCTTATCTTTGTTGTAATGTGGACAAAATTTGAAATAAAACAGCTGATATAATTATTGTGAAAATGATGTTACTTTATTTAGAGTTGTTTTTCAAAATAAATAAACAACGAATACACAAAGCGTCACTGAATGTGATTGTTTTCTAAATTTCACACATAGAGATGAAAGGATTATAACTGGAGTCGCCACTCTGTTTGAAAAGTGTAGCCGCTGTTTATCGTGTTGTTATGTTGGCCAGCTTGATTTTGGTTGGATAGCTGTCAAATTCATTCCAATAATTCTAATCATTGTAATGACTAACAACAATAGGACGATGCCATCTTGACTTTAATTTGACAGGTCCAACCAAACTGAGACAGTGTGACCAACAAAACACAGCAACAAGCGGCTATCTTGAAGCCTCGCTTTTCATTAAATGTTTAACCAGAGAGTAGTGACTCCAGTTATAATCCAATTATCTCTATGATTTCACGCAAGTTAATTTAAACTAACCTATTGATGTGCTACATGCCACAGCTTAACAAGTTGTGCGTTTTCCAAGAAGCAGGAGTGTAACAAAAAACGTGATCAAATTGTTGGAAGTAAAAGTACTATTTTTTATTGTTTTAATACAAAGTATTCTAATTTTTTAAATATTGGAAAATACACACATAGGTGGTGACCCTATCTCAAATAAAAATTGAATATGAATATATTTATTGATTACATTATTAAAATAACATTGTACTGTAAGTCCACTTAAAAATTATTAAGTCTTGCGCATATGCCGTCCTACAGTTGATAATGTATTTACTATGCCATTGGAACAAATTTAGTTGCTAGTTAATTAAATAAAGAAATAACATATTTTAAGTATTTTACTGACATGTCTTACAATTTTAAAATCTTAAACCTCTTTAAGATAAGTGTTTATCCTCTTATTGTGCCTTTTAGAACCAGACTTAATATAAATTGTTTTTATTAACCATCAGTTGTATTGGGTTATATTTTTATATATATTTGGAATATTATTTTATTGAAAATTATAACAAAATTTATTTTTGGTGGAGTAAAACAAGAATGCTTGCTAGTGCATTTATATATTTTTATATTCCCATTGTTTAGGATTTAAAAGGAGTTGAAAGCTACTTTTTATTAATTTAATAAATGTAATGTTTATAATCGTAGCTTTGTAAACATTATGTGGTGAAGTTGACAAAACCCAGTCGCTTATTCTTTTATTGCCTCCAGTATTGATACAAAGACTAAAACAATAGGTTACTTAGTTTGCCTTGTCAATCCACTAGTTATACCTGATGACAGGGTTCGAAGCTTTATGTTCCATTAAAATCTGAATGTCTAAAATAGGCCTACTCAGAATGAAATAAAAAAAGGTGTTCAAATTATTTAGGTAACAGTGATAACTTTTGGTCCCGCCAAATTAATACAAATCCAGATATGCAAAAGATTACAGCCTGGTTGTCTTATTTGTCAAATAACAACATAATTTAGCCAAAGTCCGCCCAAGATAGTCCTCTGCCTACAATAGCTCTTAGTTTAATCATTTTACATGACCACTTCTGTTTCGGTTCAAAATATAAATGTCCTAATATTTTTTTAAACATATATTAATGGGCTGACAACACCAAAGACGTAACCTACTGTTTTAATAACAAATATAATTTCTATAACCCAACAAAACCTTATTCTTGCCTCGTTACCTTGCAATAAATTATTTATATACTTAACGTCTTAGGTCTGCTTATTGTAATTATTAGTAAGCATGAACAGTATTAACTTGACTGTGATTTCTTTAGTCACCTTTTCTGTTAATGCTATCAGTTAAATAAACACTATTAAAACAAAACTGAGAAGTAGTTAGTATTATTACACACACCCAATTCATCTATTTTTGCATGGATTTTTTTCTTTAGATATAATTTTGGGTAGGGTAGTTGCTAAAATGGTGTTAGATTACACTTCTCTGTGAGTACACTTCACTTCGTGAGTGAAAAACCAGCTTGCGCATGTTTACACAAGTATGTTGTAAACATTGAGTTACCAATGTTTAAAATTGTGTTCAACCAAACGGAGATTTTGCTGTCTACCTGCGCACTAACATATTTTCTACAGCTCATCTTTATGTTTGGTTTTTCACTTGCAAAACAAAGTGTAGACATCCCATCTATATGCACCAGTCAATTTATATCAGTGCAATCTGTTGGTGGCTCACTGTACGCCCATTTTGAATCTGGCGACAACCATAACATTGGGATGGAATGTCTAGTTCTCTTAATAGTCAAATATTTGACTTTGAAGCTATCTTGGTTGGTTGGATTTTTAAAGGAAAGTAAATAAAGAGACGTCTTTATAACACTTAAAACATATATTTACGCTTATACTGTTACTCACAAGACGGTAAATATACAAAATACCCCCGCTGCAGCAAACCTGCAGACTAAGCGAATTTCCATTTGCCTGATTGGATTTACACTAAAACGTCTCCTTAAAAATATCACATTCCTTATTTAAATAGAATCAGTTTAACACATACTTAGGTTTGCTGCAACAGGGAGGGTAAAAGTGTTTTTTTATGTAAAATGTTAATAGTTAGTAAGAAATAAAAACATTTTCCAAATTTGGGCAAAATATGTTGATAAACAAGAACAAGCAAACTACAACAGTTTACTTATTCTCCATAAGAATAACATGGGAATTTTAAATTTACAATTTTTTGGAATTTTCTCCGTAACGATTAGGTGCATTATAACGCTTCAATATACTAAATTATTTGTTTTTTTAAGCTCTACAAAATAGTTTAGAAAGAAATTGCAAAATTTTATGTATTTTGAGTCAAAAATGGGAAAAACCCATTTTTACCCCATAAAACCCCCCATAAACCCCCGATCCCACGGTCCGATCATGCTGGTTCGCGAACTCGTTCGAATAAACGTAGGTTTACACGTTTGTACCGAATTTCATCAAAATCGGATTGTTTTTGCTCGAGTTATCGCGCTAACGGACACATATATAAATATATATATATATATATGAATTTGAACGGATGGTGTTTTTGGCCTCTAGGGACCTCAAAACGAAAAAAAAAATCGGTCCCGGGTCCAGGTCTTACCATGAGTACTACGGTAATAGCTTATTCCCTATATGGGAAATTCGCTAAAAGATGGTAAGTGGTGATTGATTTCGATTGGACACTCCAATTATCATCAGACCCAATAGGTGAATGACCTATTTGGTAATGCGAATGACCCATTCGCCTATTGGGTCTGATGATGATTGGAGTGTCCAATCAAAATCGATCACCACTTACCTACTATCTTTATTGTATATTTAGGCCTACCGTCTTGTGAGTAACAGTAGGCCTATAAGCGTAAATATATGTTTTAAGTGTTATAAGATGTCTCTTTATTTACTTTCCGTAAATTTAGTAACACGTACAATGCTGACCAAGAAGTTATTTAGATGTTTAATTTAAATTTGCATCTATTGAATCAGCTGGTACAATTACTTGCTAGGGAATTTCATAGTTCCTCATTTACTGTCAGCTTGGAATACATTAGAGCCTATAGGTATTTAAAGTGAATGGTTCTTTGTCAACACACTCGTGTACTCGATGGTTCTGAGTTGAGGTAGATCTAGATAGACAAGAAACAAATTCAGTATCCTTCTGATTCAAGTTTTACTATTTTTCTAACCAAGAAACAGTAAAGCAAGTTGTAGTAATGCCCTTTTTTAATTATTCCTGCAAACTTGTAAACATTTAATTGAGAAGAGTCGTAAAATCCATAATTTATGTCAAATATTTCTTAATTAAAGAGGGGTAGTGTAGTTTTAAACTGTTATCAGACGCAACAGTATTTTTCCCGAATTATTTATGTTCATGGAGAAATAACATGATGCCATGTTGCAGGGTACAATTTCACCATAAGATGTTTTACATGGACTACAATTTATAGAGGAGAAATATTCCTCTGTAACGTTGTGGAAAATGTTTTATACTACACACTCACTAGTAGTTTATCTTACAATTCAAGTAACAATGTAACTGTAAACAAACTCAAATAAACACACTTTAATCTGTTGTTTGTCAAGTTCCTTACCCAATAGTAATTTCTTTGCTTACTACGACTCCCAAATATGTGTAACTTCTTCCTGTGCAGTAGCATGTAATCATTTTTCAAATGAGACGTTCGATACATACAAAACAATATTGTACTCGTAAAATATTTTCTTGATTTGACAAATTAAGAAAATACCTTAGTAAATACCTAGTTTCTTCTTTAAAGAAGAAACTAGGTACTGTACACAAAACTAGAAATATACGTTTGAGGAAATCTTAAAAAACAGATCAGAGACAAAACAATTAACATCTACACTGATAGTGGAGCTATCTTAAAAGCACTAAACTCATACGAATTCAAGTCAAGGCTCGTGTGGGATTGTCTTGCTTCTGTGTCTGAATTGGATATTAGGAATGATCTACGCTCTACTGGGTGCCTAGATATTCAGGCATTGAAGGAAATGAAGCTGGGGTCAGATTGGCAAATGCTACCTCATCGGCAACAATGATTGGTCCACAACCTTCTGTGGATGAACTCTCTTTTCGTGATATACTGTACGTATATCACGAAAAGCGAGTGCACCTCTATTGTGTCACGGGACAATGAAAAGCACCGAAAACTTGGGTTGAAACTCCCCTTCTTAGGGTTAGCAAGCTTACTATGTTTAAGCCTTCTAAATGGGTTGCCTCTGACTTTTTGACCCTAGTGAAAATATCAGTTAAGGTCAACTGGTCCCTGAAATCAGTTTATGTCAACTGGGCCAAATACCAGCTGATATTAGTTGTTGATGTCAGCTGATAACTAACTGGTTTTAATGGTATTATGCAAGCAAAAATCTGCTGAATTTAAATAGGTTCCCTTAGAAATTCTAAAAGTCACAAATACAATACCTAACCAATGTAAGGTCAGCAGATTTCCCAAAACAGAATAGAAAACTTAAGTCATTGAACACCAGTTAAAATAAATTAAATATTTGTTTTACTAAAAGGAATTAATAAATTAGATTTTTAAGCATATATTAACAGTTGTTATTTTATTTTAGCTTCAGAAACGCTATACATATCCATTTTTGGCAGAAATAATTCAATTACCATCTGGTTGGTTAGTCGTGTTAAGCAACTCGATTGGGGGTCATAATTTTTTCTGTGATATATTTTGTGATATTCTTCATCCGAAGCCTCGAGGCTAGACTGGCGATGAATTAAATTAACAGTGGAATTGATAACTGGCCATGGGCGATTCAGGAAACATTTACAACGGATGGGCTTGTTAGATGGTGAACCGATCTGTTCTGTAGGCCAGAGGAGACAGCAGATCATCTGCTCTTTGATTGTGAAGGAAGTTATTAGTTCTAAACCGAAATCGACTCATTGCAGAAGCTATTTTTGCAGCATCCATGATTCTCTGACATGAGCACAACAACATCGTAAAGATCACATGGGATCGCAGACACACCGATTTCCCGGCCTGGATGGTACCCAGTCAATGTATTTCATTGTACTTGATCAGTTAAATCCGTTATTTAAGTCAAAATGTTATAAATCTCAATTGGTTCTGGATTTGCTTACAATATGTGATCAGAAATAATTGCACTATTTGTGAACACCTTTTGATGTAAACATAATATCAATGGCAGTTTGAATGAATAAACTTTATTCAAATAAAAACTGTTCATTATTTATTTCATACATTTTCTCTAAACAGATGATTGATATATCAATGGCGTAATGTAGTAAATATTAGGGGGAAATATGACAAAATCACACTTAAGTGGGATTTTGAACGTTTTGTTTTATTTCAAAAGTTGTATTAATAGCCAGGTTTTAATAGTTAAAGACATTTTCACTAATTACCGTACTGTGAAAATACAGTAAATGGATCTGCATCTTTATCGGTAGTCTTCTCGGAGTAGGCTACCTAAATTGGTATTTTGTCGTTACAGACACATAGACAGGCAGACAAATGGAAATAAAGAAAGACAGAAATTAATTGAGATAGCACATGTTTCGGCTTTCTTAGATAACAGCTGTGAAACGTAAAACCATAGACTAAGCAACACAAGGTTTTCTAAGGGAGTATGTTTTATCTATGGTAAAACCAACCAAAAACTGCACGATTCTATGCAATGTTCACAGACAAAACCAATTTTATAGATTTAAATAACATTAATTTCAATGAGTAGGCCGTACTTCTATGTTTGGTGATACAGAGAAGAGGTAATAAGGTGCGTTTTTTACTTTCTCCCCCTATACGGAGAAAATATCGCTGTTTTCGTCAAAATTTTCGAGTTTGAGTTTTGAGTGGCTATATCCGTTTTGGGTCCCCCTGGGCCCAAAAAAGTGGTTTTCGAAGTGATGTCTGTGTGTGTGTGGGTGCGTCTGGATGTGTACATAGCTACAGACCACACCTGTAGTCCGATTTTGATGAAATTTGGTATGTAGGTACTAATCCATGTTATCTCCAGGCGTTTTTTTATTTTTTTGAAATTTTGATTTTTAGTGTCAATTTTCCTATAAAAAACCGGAAAAATCGAATTTTCTCAAAATGGCCCTAACGATTTTGATAAAGATTTAGTATGTTGTAGCCCTTTAAATTCTAGACAAAATTGTACAAATCCCATTTCTGTAAAAATTACGGCTCAAAAGTTATTGCAAATTATGTTATTTTCCCATAAAAAACTCCATAAAATAATGAAAAATAGGATTTTAGAAAAAAATTCTGTTATTTAACATAGTAGGTATGTTATGGTCCTTACAATTTTGATAGTTTTTTCATTTTTTTAGAAATTTTTATTTCTAATGGGGGTTTTCCCATAAAACCCCATAAAATAACGGGAAAATACCCCGTTCACAGAAATGGCCCGAACGATTTTGATAAAAATTTAGTATGTTATAGTCCTTTAAATTCTGATCAAAATTGTACTAATCCCATTTCCATATATTTACTCTCACCACTTACACATGATTATGATAAAGGTTGTTGACAAACTTATGGGAGAAAGTATGTGTCAGAATGCTGATACCGGTTATTTATTGAAATTTTGATAGCTTAGTATGAAATAAATAAATTAGGCAAATTAAATCAAATGTCTATGTCAGTGCATAATAATAATTATCAACTCGAATCTAACTCGACTGTAGCGATCCAATATTGCAGTGGCATTCTGTCAAACTACCGGGACTTTCCTTTTCCGGTATTCCGCGTGCCGCATCACACAAGTAGTTCTCCCGCCTCTATTCAAACGCTTGTAAGCGAAGAAAAAGAAACCGAGGCTACGACTGGGTTTCTCAGAATCTCAGCCTCTCTCTCCGTCTGTCTGTCTAGGGGTGGCAATGGTTATAAAACGCGGAAAGTGAAAGGGAATGGAAGGGACGTTCTGACGCTACGCGGGACCGCTGGACTGGCTGTCGTCTGTCGTCATGGTCTGATGGATTTAGACAAGTTCAATTTTTGTGCTAGACGTAAGGCCTACTATAGGAGAGTGTACGACGTTTCTGTAAACTTTTCAAATCAAGTTCTTATCTTAGCCTAAATTCTTTGTTGAAATAGTGCATTCAATTATAGTGCTTTGAATATGGAGTTTAAATATAACTTAAATGAAATATTTAAATATTATATTTCCAAAGTTTCCAACACTCTGCTACCGGCGGATTTCAACGGTGACATAAGAAAAGCTTCGTAAGTATTTCATGTTAGCATTAGGTTTAAAACTAGCCTAGGTTAGGTTACTAATACATCTTACTCTACCTCAGATAAATGTAAGGTATGTTCTTACAACCCTCAAATAAAACAAAATATATCTCAATCCAATGGTCGCATATTATCTTTACAAAATGATGTTAGACTTCTAGGTTTGAGATAGGATGAATTAAGGCTGTGACGTATATGGTCTAGCCTTTATCACAATGTCAATAACAACTTCTCAACATTCGACTTTGAGCAGTAGTGCAATTACACCTTTAAAGGTCCTTATAAATAGGCCTACCCATGTAGCACAGATGGTTGGGCCAACGTTGGTAAATTGTGGAGCCACACAGTTGGCCAACGGTAGAAAATGTCACCTCTTTAAACTGTTTTCCATCCAACCATTGACCAACCGTTTTATTTCACTCAAAATAATAAAGATTTAGTACGAAAAGCATAATTATTAGTTGAGTAAATTGATTAAATAGTTCATAAAAACAAATTTTGAAAAAAAGCTAGAACAAAATTTTTCGGCCCAGACGGGTCTCGAACCCGGGTCCTTCGACTTATGAGCCTCTTACTTTACCACTGAGCTATCTGTGATTGTTGATATAGAGAGTTTTCAAGTGGTGAAAGAGTAGCCGACAGTTGCAATGGTCGCAATACTTCAAACATTTTTGATACTACACAGTATAATATGATTCTGTTAATCTGTTAAGGCATCATAAGTAGTTTTTTTTTTTTTTTTTAGTTAGAGAGGATACTGGTATTTGAATATATATTAATTAATTACTGTTAGATTATTAATGCTATTATAATTGCCTGTTATATGATTAATTACTCTTTCCCCTTAAATTGTTGCAAATAAGTTAAAGAATATTATTTTAAAAAATATTTGCATTATTATAATGATTAAAATTCATTGTTGTAGCCCCGGAACTGTATAAAATATCTGGTTTTACAATACCTTTATCAGTTCCAAAAACTTTTGGAAACTTTTGGAACTGATAAAGGTATTGTAAAACCAGATATTTTATTATAATTAGCTAGACCCAGAGAATGAAAGTCGTGTAAACTCAACTATGGACCATCGTTGGTCCAACAAAAGTATCTTTTGTTGGTCCAACGGAGTGAAAAACGGTTGGACAACGGTTGGCTTGATGTATGATACCCAGCAATGCATATTAATGTATTTCATTAACAATGAACCAATGTTGGTCCACAGTTGTAAATATTGGTTGGCCCAACTACGAGATATACAGTTGGACAACGGTTGGTTGGTTGTGGAAGCTCCAACCAACCATCGACCAACTGTCCCACAGTTGGCCAACGTTGGCCCAACCATCTGTGCTACATGGGTAGCCTAGGCTATTTTTCTGATCTTACTTGTTGTTGATATCCCTAGGATTACGCAGACACTAAAAGATTCCTTCTAAACTGTAAGCTACTTAGATTACCATATAGAATATGTCATATTCTATATGGTGCTAGCTTTAGCTGAATAACTACCTATGAGTGTAGAATGGTATGTTTGTAACTGATTAACTTAGGTTGTTTCTTCAGCAGGACCATTTAAACTTAACAGCAATAATCATAACAGCTGTGTCCAGTTTAGAGAAGTGTTGCATCTTTTGATGATGCAATCAAGTGCAATGACTACATTTAATATGTTGTATGAAAATAATCTCAAAAGGAAAAATTAATCCCAATATAGAACCTGTTATGCCGGCAAAATGTTACAGGCCCTTTGGTATAAGCTGTGTACTGACTGTCAAGACAAGTTTAGATTAAAAATAGCCCTAGGCCTAATTAGCTTATTATATGGTTAGCCTTTGCAATTATTGTACAGTCTATAGTTCGGCCGCTTAGAAAACGACCTGCGCGCTAATGCTAAACCAATGTTGGAGGAGGTCGCTTTCTAAGCGGCCGAACTATAGTGACTGTTTGTTGTAATTTCTGACCTTGTTATTTATTTATCAGACATGTGGCAAGCCAAGTGTCGGATATAGTAGACACCATGGGACTAGCCTCGGCGAGAGCACAAGGCCTACACCATCCTATCACCAGTGCGGAGAGATTAAGAATCTGTGATCACACGCTCTATATCATGATGGATCCTAGAGACAACCAGTAAGTACGCTGTATTTGGCTATAGTCTGTTCACAATATTTAGGCGGTTTGAGGGGAAGTTCACCCACCACTTTCCGCTTAATGTATGTTGCAGCTGCGATTGATGTTTTCACTAGTCTCAGCTGTTGAGCTATATTTTAATGGTAGGATGAAAACGTGGAGGAGATCTATTCCTTCCCCTAAAACCGCCTAAATTTTGTGAACAGAGTATATAGTGTTGTCATTCAACATTCTTTGGCAAAAGGACAAACATTTTGAATTGTCCTAAAAACGTGACAATCTGGCAGATATGTAAAAACAGTGGTGACATAGGCGTAACTTAGTTCTCATTTTTCAAAATGAAATACAACAGAACCTGGACTATCCTGGCTAATATAGGGGGAAGGAGACCATGTATACTGAAAACTACAGATAATCCAATATGGGATAAAAATCAAACCCATACTTTTAACTGAAATGGCCACCATACAAAGGTAGTTATTTTAAGCCAAGTATGAATGGAGATGAGTGGTGTGATCTTGTAGTCAACTACTGACTAAGTCCGACATGTTCCTTAGACATTACTGTTAATAGTTCAAAGAACCAACTAAGGGACATGCAGTTCATAGTGAAGTCCGAACCACATTTTTGCCTTGTAATTTACGAATTGGTCTAACTATCAGGATAGTACTGAATATTGTTGTAGTACTCACTAATGCACACCAGGGAGTATCACATCCACATATCATGCCTATAAATATATCCACAATTCGTGGCCTCCAAGTAGCTGGATTAGAGGACGACACCACGGTCCGAGTCATTAAAAAAACATACAAAACACTAATACTGCATAAAAAGCCATTAACCCTAGAATTAAAGTACAGGGGTAATTTTATACAGGGACATTTTTGATATGGGAGAAAGCATAACTGTATAAAGGCACCCCAGTGCTTCCAGCGCCTGAGTACCTTCCAGTTGACTCATTTACAACTTGATCTTGAATTCTAGGTTAATATGGTGCCAGTTTTGTAATGGTAGAACTTATATTATTTGGGGGAGGGGGAGTGAGCTGGTCTAGTGGTAGAGCGCGGGACTTCGCTTTTTCAAGTTTGTACCACATTTCTTCAAAATGGGATGATTTTTGCTTAAGTTATCGTGCTAGCAGACACATGTATATAAATTAATATTTTCTTGTATGTTACATATAAATAAATTTGCATAATCAATTATACATAGGAAAAGGACTGAGAAAAGGGTGTTTTAGCTTTTTATGTGGTGTCATTGTGATAGCAGGACCTCCTCAATTATAACTTGCATACCTTTTTTTCTTTAGTAGTGTGATTCAGTTGCCAATGAAGTTATTAATGTTTACATCAGTTCATATAACTGACAGAATTATTTTGTATTTGAGGTTTCTTATCGATTATGACTTAAGAGTTGGTAACTGAGAAGTTTACAATCCTAGACTCTGTAGAGATTTCTAAATCCACTCTGACCTTTGTGAATCTTGAGAAATATTTGCCTGATTGGTAAATTAATCTAGTTTTAACTTGAAATTTGCAGTGGAAAAGGAAGCGTTGTTGGTATTCTGAAGATGGGAGTGAAACATTTGTTCCTGTCTGACCCAACTGGCATGGTCCATGAGAAGGAAACATTGTGCGTACTTGACTTCTATGTCCATGAATCAAAGCAGAGGACTGGAATAGGAAAGAGAATGTTTGACTACATGTTAGAGGTATGTTAACACTGCCCAAGTTTACATTGTAAACAATAGTTGAGTGAAATTGGTCATAGATAGCCTCACGATAGGTGAGAATAAAAATCGCTTCTAAAATGTTTCCCCTGTAAAATTGTTGGCAAAATTTATTTTCCAAAGGAACAAAGATATAAGCGTTTTGATAACATTGGAACACCGTCGCAAATATGCAACGTCAGTCTATTTTAATGTAACTAGCCGTCGCATATATGCGGCAGCCTATGGGTAGAAACCAGCTGTCGCTGGTCCATATGAATGAAAAATGTTGTACTATTGCAGTAGCGAACGTGTTAAAGTAGGAATAATCCTAGTTTCTCAAGAAATGTTTTAATTAACCGTTAAAACATATTCAAATGACTTTTACTAACCTGAATGTGCACTTAAGCTATTTATATACTTAATACAGTAAGTATATACCTCTGTTACTTCCCTTTTGCAGCTGTTCTACTTAACCGATTTTTAAGATTGAGGTGTCATTTTAAAGCTTGATCTAGCACACCTGTGAATGGCAATCAATGTTATTGCCTTTAAGGCTACGCCCCTCATAATTAATTTAATACTACAGTCATTTTCAAAGATACAGTTATGCTGAATAACTTTCTCTATAACAATTTAAATGTGAATTGTAATTTAACCACTGTTCCTCAGGTAGGCAAGTCAGTCTTTAAAGTCTAGTTCTTAAACCATCAATAAATTGTAAATTATATCTTGAAGAGGTATTTTTCACTGGATTAATTTTCTCTCAGAAAAAACCTTTAGGACCCTATTTAACTGCGCTGTTTGCGCACGAGTCCCCTCGTTTAGATAAATTTGAATTTTTATTTTTCAGGACAAAGACATTAAGCCTTGTAAACTAGCGATTGACAGACCATCTCAAAACATCTTGTACTTCTTGAACAAGCACTACGGGTTAGCAAAGATATACCCTCAGAACAACAACTTTGTCCTGTTTGAAGGCTTCTTTGATGAAAAACGTGGTGAGTGTATTAGATTTTCTACTAAACCAAATACAGTAGTTCAGTAGTTGCGTCTTGGCTGATAAGCCTGACATTAAAGATGTTTCCTTAAGGCTGTGGTTTGCTAGGCACGTAATAGATGCGCTACACAAGCATATATGAGCTGCAGAACATTCATCTTACAACGTATCGTCTCTGTGGTTTCCTAGATTGCAAATCAAAGTGCACGTGTAACTAATATGCACGGCCTATTTGCTGCTCCCGTTTGCAATTTGACGGAAATAGGATTTGTTATTACTATTTATTTCAATTAATTATTAGTGATAAATAAAGAATACATTTACTTTATACGAGCTGTTGGCCCGTCCTACGTATAGGAATTGAGTAGTCCATTAAAACTGTATATGGTGTGTATATTACTAACTCAAGCATAGTTTAAGCCGTTCAAAATTTATAGTAAAGATAAAGCTGCCAAGATGAATTCAAACATGTGATCATTGTTATTTTCCCAACCTTTCCTCAAAAAGTTGATTATAAGCTTTTTTTGTAAGACTCGTGAGCTTTGATTCGTATACAGCAATATGGTTATAGAGTCTTACTTATTTCCTATAATCAATGACAAAATGCCAGAATAAATAAACTAACCTCATCTAATATATAAAATTCTCGTGTCACAGTGTTTGTCTGCAAACTCCTCCGGAACGACTTCACCGATCGTTATGAAATTTGGTGTGTAAATTCTGTAGGTATGCGAATCGGACATAAACTATTTCCTGTTTCGAAATTCTTAAAAGGGCTCCGCCCCAGTGGCTCTGGAGTTTCCCATGTTAACCTTATGAGAAATGGAATTAATGAATCTTAACAGCTGTTTCAATTAAACAAGTTGGTTCTGTTCTATGATGTTCAATAGCATTAAAGTTACAAGGATTACCAACAGGGTGCAGCACTATTATTTCTTTTACATTTATGACAACAGCTAATTTGCAACCAAAAGGTGAGTGAGCGTAGCGAACGAACTTCAACCTGGAGGCGAGTGAGCGTAGCGAACGAGCTAACCTGAAGGCAAGTGAGCGCAGCGAACGAGCTCCAACCTGAACGAACTTCAACCTGGAGGCGAGTGAGCATAGCGAACGAGCTAACCTGAACGAGCTCCAACCTAAAGGTGAGTGAGCGTAGCGAACGAGCTCCAACCCAAAGGTGAGTGAGCGTAGCGAACGAACTTCAACCCAAAGGTGAGTGAGCGTAGCGAACGAACTTCAACCAGGACGTGATTGAGCGATGCAAACGAGATCATCTTGAAAATTAAACGTAACGGTACTTTCTTTCCATTGGTCTGTCTTAGGGGAAACCTATAACTTAGGCGATACGAAGTTCGCCGGGTCAGCTAGTAGTTCTATAGAATATCTTTTTATTCAACCAGCTGATAGTTATGACAAATTATATTGCTCTAAAACAAATTGAATATTTTAAAGACTGCTCAAGAAAATAAATTAGAACATCTAGTATTTTACAATGTTAAATAAACTCTCATCCTCTGACCGATTAAATGAATGTATAAATGATTATAGCATTACACATAGTATAAATTAATCAATTATACGTATGTCATTTCATTTTCATCCAATAGCTGAATTATTTGTGTCACAAGCGCTGAATGTTTACTGCTGTTATGTTAAGCAAATTATATTATGCCAAAATATAGTTTAGAATGTTAGCGTCGGTTGCTAGACTTTTAAAAAATTTAAACTTAATTTCTAAAAAACTGGGATTCTAAATTAAAATTATGGCCTCGACATTCCCTAATTCTCAAAATTATCTTTCTTTCAACACAAAAATCATGAAAATCCATTGAGTGGTTGATTCAGAATCCCTGTCACGTTTTAATATTATAGATTCCATGTTATTTACCTAAAACCTAAAAATGTCAATGACTTAAACAAACCATAGATAAAACGGTACTTTCCTGTTAAAGGGAACATTCATTATTATCGGTGATTTTTTTTTCGATACATCGATTTTTTCCTTTACGATACATTACAAATTGACAGCTGATATTTAGGCTAAAATATAGTCTATTATATGGAAAGAAATGAATCCATTCTAAGCTAACTTAACATAACCAACCAAACTTGCTGTACCATTTAAAAATTCAGTTTGATAACAGAAAAGGCGAGTTGAGAATATTAAATGGAGTTTTTAAATGTTACAGCAAGTTTGGTTTGTTTTGTTAGGTTAGTTTGGAAAAGTTTTATTTCAATATTTTTTTAAATTTTCGATTGTCGATTCTGAACAATATTTATTTATCGTAGTTGTCAACTGATATGTTTCAATTTGTTAATATCGATATATCAAAGAAAATCATCGATAATAATGAATGTTCCCTTTAACAGGAAAGTACCGATAAAACATATGTTAACAATTAACATGTGTTTTGTTTTATTTAAATTTTATTTCTAACATTAATGTGTTAAAATCATTATTTTGTTTACTGGTTGAATTGTTTATGTTTACTTACAGATTGTGATAACCAAGATAAAATAAAAACCTACTTTCTATTTCCTTATAGAAAATGTGAACTTTAATTAGTAAAATTAGTGGAATCAACAATGGCGACAAAGGGGACACTGCAATATAAAATCCAAAGACTTCTAATGCAACTGAGGCAATCCTCGAATTCAACTGGTACATCAGCATACCACATAATTTTTGGAAGGAGCGTACGAACAAACATCGCAATCATTGTTCCAACATTAGAACCGTACAAATATCAGAAGAAGGGAGTCCAAGTCGGTATTAAAAGGAAATTCAAAGTTGGAGATAAAGTGCAAGCGCGGGAATATGCCAAGGGTTCGTCGAAGTGGTATTCGGACTATATAACTTTTTAGTTATATAGCCCGAATACCACCTCAAGGAACTTCAGAAAGAATTCTGCTGAATTTCACTGACAAATCGATCACAGTGCTTTCAAGTCGCAGCGCATCTAATACGCATCTTGCAAACCACAGCCTTAGTTATGTTTTTACTACACAGTCATACTTGCTTACCGATATCACCAAGACCAAAACTTCTCAGTCATAAGATTACTGGACCAGTGTAGATTCACAGTTTTGACAGGCAGCCGTGAAAAAATCTTTTTCTACATGACTCTTTTTAATTTCTTGAGATGCATAACTATTTTTGCCATGAGTTGAATACAATTTTTTTTAGGCACTTATAGGTGTTTTCTATGCCTGTTTATATTTTCTGACAATGTAAAATTGGAAAATAAAAAGATGAATTCATGGTATAGGTCGGCCGCTTAGAAAACGACCTCCTCTAGCATTAGTTAGCATTAGCGCGCAGGTCGCTTTCTAAGTGGCCGACCTATAGTTATTTAATGTCAGCTGAAGTATCATCAGTGATTGGTTTTTGTTCTTTCATCTAACGTAGGCCTACATAATATTATGTTTTACAGATGTCAGATCCTCTCTTGAATACTCATATAGATCTGAGAAGTCCAGGCATGAACAGGAGGATCGCGACAACAATCAAGCTGTAACTGACAGGCGGTATGTATGTTCTAAAATTGAAAATACTGAAAATAGTATTTAGCCATGCTTTACAATTTACCATGAATTGGTAATTTAAAGAGGAAATTTAGACATTTAGATCAGTTGGGATAGCTTGATGTTGGATGATACTGCCTAAGTAGCTTGACCTTCCTCGGAAGCAGTCAACTTTACTCAATCATTTTTGGACTGTGGGATATCCTTCCTGATGTTACCATTTATCTCTGGAGCGGAATTCAACCGTAACTGACTTTTTCGCTCAGGGCGTCTGAGGTCATGTCAAGCACAGGACACAGTTACAGCTTTGGCAATGGGGCAGTGGCCTCCCCCAGACAGGCCTCCTCCACAGATTTTCCTTCAAAAGGTAAGCTGTCTTGAGGGTTGTACTTTCATGACGAGTAAAACGGTGAATCCTGCATTTGAATTGAGGAAGTATTATTAAAGATATGTCAGTCTTTATTAATTAAAACACGACAGCCCCGTATGAAGTGTATGGCTGCAGTGTGTATTTCTGAGGATTAAAGCGCATAATCCAGTTAGTTGTAGTTATAGAGACTGATGCCAACTATTCACCCTATGGTGTCAGTAATCAATAATACTCACTTGCTCTGTGAGGATTTTATTGTTAATTAAGTTTCTTTTTTTGATTTCAGTGAACGGGAAGACTACTTGCCCCACCTGTATGGCCGGCACGCTGCCTACAAACTTCCTGACACTATGGGAGACGTAAGTCATTGCGTAAATATTCAGTATTCTTTTACGCCAGTAAAAATAATCGGGTCGTGGCTGAAAACTTGATATTAGATTTTTGTTTTTGCTGCCTATGATCTTGAGTAAGATGTTTTTGTGTAACCCTATGCATTTTGCCAGCTTGTGTGGGATCTTCACATGGCATAAGCTATTTTCTTCACTAACGCTATTGTCTATATATTTACACACGTCACTGTTATCGTGACAGGGTCAAGAAAATAATGTGGCGACGAACATGCGGCAGAGTCACGTCTTTATTCCTCCGTTTCATTTCTTGGACTCGTCATTTCACTTCTTATTCGCTTGATCTTACTGCAATACCAGTAGGCCTAACGTCTGTAAATATGCAGACTATAGCCATTAGTGATAAAAAGATAGCTTAAGAAGACCCCCAAAAGATGTCACACAAGCTGGAAAAGTACTTAGTATGTAGATGTAACTAATTATTTATCTTCTAAGATTTAAAATGTGCGCACTTGCCCATGTGATTTTTAGATTTTTCTGATTACAGATTATTGAGGGACGGTTCAACTGGTCACAACCAGTCTCCGACCAGGAATGGGTTGGTATTTATTGTGTTGATAAGACAGCTTTTTTGAATTTTTCGACTAGAATGTTAAGTTTTGACAGTAAAAGTTTAGTGGAAGAAGATCAGATCGTAGATATTGTTCCACAAACTAAATTCTTGGGTCTCATGGTAAACAGTGCGCTGAACTAGAATGATCATAGATTACCTTAGTACAAAATTATTAAGGTCAGATTTATACTAAGAAGATTTAGTAAAGTATGTTCAATTGAAACTTTGAAAACAATCTACTACTAATTTTTTATTTCAATTTAACGTACTGTATTTAACAATTATATATGTGGATACGGGGATACACTACCAAAACAAACATAAAAAAACTTGTAGTCCTTCAACAGAAAGCTGTGAGGTGTATGGCAGGACTGAGCTTTGGGGAATCTTGTAAGGAAACATTCAAAATCTTGAGATTCTTACCATTCCTTGCACTATTATTTACAGAGTTTTAATATATTTCAAAGCTAATATCTTTAACACTTTCGCTGCTACAGACATTCCGGAACATCAGCCGGGCCACGGCGCCAGGAGCTAGGAACATTCCGGAACGTCACCATTCATTGTTGTTTAACGTTGCTATGGATAAGCCAGCTCGTCACAAGCGTCCTATATTTCTTTGCAAATAATTTAAGACTTTGTCCCTAATGCATGAAGTTTATATTGCTTACTCCAAATCTACCTGAATCTTACTAAAATTGTTGCAAGGGCCTCTTTTACAGAATTTCCCTAAAGGGAAGTAGCTTTTACCGTAGGTACAAAATTAAAAAAATTAAGCAACATTTTAATTTTTATGTTAAATTATTTAGGTAAGACCTAGTCCCAGGACCGATTTACTTTTTTATTTTGATGTCCCCAGAGGCCAAAAACACTATTCGTTCAAATCTATATAATTGATACGCTACATGAAACTTTGTCGGTTGAACTCCTCCACCATTTCTTAACCAATTTTATCCATTAAAGTCTCATTGGAAAGAGCGTGTCGCGTAGATTTGCAAACTGGCCTTACATTCTTGAAAAAGTCCCTTGGGCTCTGCCCCAGTGGCTTTGAAAGTTCCCATGTTATCCTTATGAAGAACATAATTGTTTACATTTTTATCAGCTGTATAATTTAATTGCTGCTATTTATTTTTCGATTCAAAGAAACGGCATTAAGTACATTTATTTACTATTTGAGTTTGTGTAAACATAACCCCCATGACGGATCGTGGTAGTATGGTTGTATCTTAAATTTGTGTATTTATCGTTGTTTTGTGTCGCTATGACGGATCGTGTTAGCATGATTGTAACTTAAATTTGTGCATTTATCGTTGTTTTGTGTAGCTATAATTTGTTTATTTGTTGTTTTTTTTCTTTTAAATGCCTCCGACGCGACGACAACGAAACATAGACAGGAGGCGTAATCGTGATAACGACCGCAGCTGAAGAACAGTGGCGCGTCCTGACCCTGGACAATCTAAACTATTTTTAGGTTTGCTCCCTAACACTACCCCAAAACGACTTTTCGTTCTCAATTGGCCCTCTATCAATGACCTGAGTTGCCTGTACAGCGAGTCATTTTGAGAAGGAGAAAACCGGCCGGAATGCTTTAGGTTTATCAATAACCATTGACTATATAATAACGAAGATAAACATGGTCTGAGTTACACACCGGTAATCTTTGAGTTGACTCTTTTAAACTCATTGTAGCCTAAATATGACTGTTATTTGTTTTGAAATAACTCCTGTAATACATTGCAATTGCTCGAATTCGAGCAACATGTACGCTAGTTTTTATATTCATATAAGATCGTAAATATTTATTTTGTATGTGCTTGTGTTTTACTTTTGGTCAATAATACAGTTTGTTTTTTTAGAGATTAACCTGTCATAACATGCTCACTCCGACCAACGTGAACCACCACTCCACTCTCTGGTACCGTAGATAGAGATTTCCTGTACTGTAACGTTTATTTATTTTTACGATTTTCCATTTTTACTTTGTAAATAGTATGTAAATAGCAGTTTTTTACTTATTCTTAAGTTAAAAGGAATTGGTGGGGTTGTTTATATTCATGCACCCATTATGAATAGTTAGTTTTAGTTTGCAAATTTTGGAAAGCAGAGTTTTAACTTAATTTTAATGAAGATATTTTTAGTTGGTAATGAACTTTTGTTTAGTTTCTGCATTGAAGAGTATTCAATTATTAACTTTATTTTTAGTTTCTTCATGAAAGGTTAGAGTTATCAACGACTAATGTGTACGCACAGTTTAAGGCGTTGTGGCAAAGTAAATTTGTCAAGATTGTCATTTATTGAGATTTTAACTATCCTTCTTTATTTGTCTTGCCATCTGTTTAAACTTCTAGGTTTAACTTTGAGTCTGAGCATATTGCTGAGTTAAAAATCTATCTAAGTCAGTAATTGTATGTAAAATCAGGTTAATGGTGCCCTTAAACAATGCATAGATAACTTACCATTCTATCTATAACTTAAAGAATATTTTGTGGTATTGTTATTTTGCAAGTTTTAATAAACATTGTCACGTTGAAATTATAAATGTATAATGTTGTTTCAACTTACATAGTTTCTTGTGATTTATATATTTGTTGAATTGTTTAAATGGTTATTGTTGGTATGTTTTTCAAGTAAAGGGATCCGATTTTACAGGCATTTAGTAAAAATAAGCAAACATTTTTAGGTTAGTCTCTTATCTTTGTTGTAATGTGAACAAATTTTGAAATAAAACAGTTGATACAATTGTGAAATAATGGTGTTACTTTATTTACAGCTGTTTTTAAATATAAATAAACAATGAATAAACAAAGCATCGTAACTGAATATGATGTTTTTCTAAATTTTACATAAGTTAGGAATTTGAACTTACCCATTGATGGGCTACATGCTGTTGATATGCTACTCATGGTATTAGTATGGATATAGTAGTGTGTAATACATAGATAGTATCTGTGATTCACTTTGACAGTTTGTAACTAAGCCACAGACAGATCACAGCAGTATTCCAAGTCTGGTTTAGATAAATAGAGAATGAATCAATTTTACAGTTCTCACAGTCATTAGAACAGTGGCGGATCTAGAACAGTCACAAGGGGGGGGGGGCGAAACAGGGGTTCGGGGGTACCCCCCCCCCAAAAAAGTTTTTGTAGACTAAGTCTCCAAAATTGTTGTTTTATACAATTTCTTTGTCCAAAGTTAGTGTGACAAATTATTTTACGCAATGTGTATGCACTACTGTACTACATGCAGTAAAAAATATTTGTCTATGTATGCCGAGGGGGGTACTGTGGCCCCCTTCGCCTCTGGATCCGCCACTGCATTAGAATACACATTGCAGATGTTTTTGCCTAATAAGCTGTGTTTTTTCAAGAAGCAGGAGTGTAGCATAAACATGATTGTTGGAAGTATGGTACTATGTTTTATATTTTCCAATGAGTAAGTGTTATGGGTAGACAACATTTTTTTTCATCTATTTAAGTAGTAAAACAAATAAAACTTTGAGCTACTGATAAAAGAATGCCTAAATGTTATGACTACTTTTTGCAAAGCTGTATTTTATGCTAACTGGTCGATTTTCAACTTTGCAACCTCAAATTTGATTTTGTGAGTATACCGTTTGATCCACGTATTTTTGAGTTTGTGTTTCAAAACATAAATTAGTTATAGAGTATTAAATTTGGAAGCTAGGATTAGGTACAGTGACAGTGAAATGTTACAAGATTTTGAACGAGATGGCGAAGATTTGTTGGCAGGGGAATTGAAGACTGGTGGTAGCTTCAAAAGATTTTTAAGAATGCTAAGTGCAGACTGTTGTCTAGGCTACTGAAGGAAGCGTACTTATCTTACTGGTCTAGAGCCCAGATAGCGGAACCAATGTATGCGTTTACACTATACAACTTGTTTTATAAACTTCTGTACAACTAATTATAGTAATAGGTTTACATGATTAAAAATTTTTAAAAAGTTGTACAACAAGCATTAAAGAACCTAAAATCGTGTTTAAAAACAGGTTGCAACTTTCCCGACCCACGTCGGAAAGATCAAAGGAAATTTGTGTTTTATAAACTTTTGTTGTACAACATGTTTGATGTCCACTTTACTTAATGTCAAACTTGTTTAACAAACATTGGATGCGCTGGGCTCCAGATTATTTTACCCATAAGAAGAATCAAGTACGGTACTCAAAGTCTGCACTTTCTTAAGTTGTTGAACCTACATACCACGAGTCCCTCAATTCTCCAGCCAACAAATCTCGTTCAAAATCATGTAAAATTTCACTGCGACTGTACTTGATCCTAGCTTGCAGTGATGAAGGACAGACCCAAAAGCAACGGTTTGTTGTTTTCTTTCTTTCTAGCACAGAAAATCACAAAACAAGCAGCCGCCAACACAGATCCTTGCCTCATCACTTGAAGCAATCATTGTGACTGTAGGTTTTTGGGCAAGCTCTTTTAAACATGTTTAATCCTTTTTGGCGCATACAACTTGTTCTTTGTGGGCGAGGGGGGGGCGTGACGTAAAAAGTTTGAGAACCCCTGATCTAGAGAGACAAGAAACAAATTTATGATCCTTCTGATTCAAGCTGTCTTATCAAGAAACAGTAAAGCAAGTTGTAAAAATGACTTTTTTAAATTATTCCTGCAAACTTTTTAAAATCTAATTGAGAAGAGTTTTAAAAACCATAATCATGTCCAATATTTAATTTTTAAAGAGTGGTACCGGTGGTGTAATTTTTATTTTTAATTAGACAAAAATATTTTGCAGGAACTATTTATCTCTATGGAAAAATAACTCGATTCCATGTTGCAGGGTACAATTTCACCATAAGATGTTTTACATGAACAATTCATAGAGGAGAAATATTCCTCTGTTACTCAATGGAATAATATGGTTTATAAATAGGCCTACTATCTATCTAACAATGCTGTCAGTCACTGTAAACAAACTCAAATAAACACACTCTAATCTGTTGTTTGGTAAGTTCCTTAGCCAATAGTAATTTATTTTTCTACTAAGACTCTCTTGTATAACCTCTTCTCGTAAATATTTACTTGATTTGTCAAAAGTAAGAAACTGGGTACGGTGTACAAAAAACTTAAAAATACATGTTTGAGGATGATAAATATTGATTTATTTTATAAATATATTATATACTAGCTGTGTGCCCGTTCTACGCACGGGGATCTTATAGTAGTCAGTTGAAACCTTCTTAGCCTATATTAAGATTAAGAACAGCAGTTAGTTTGCATATTTGCAGATATGCTGGCAAAACTATTATATATAAACCTTCGCAAATACAGTATCTGACAGTTCAAGCCAAAATAAATGCTTCGCAATTAAATGTCACCCGGATCGTTATGGCCCATATGTCCAATGATTGAACTAAAAAATGTTTTATAGATCCATGAAGCGTAGCCCTAAAGTATGCCTATAATTGAAAGTTACTTTCCACATCGGTTAACTTAAACGTATTTAAAGTACTACCTCAACCTCACCATTTAACACTTTATTCCGGTTGACATTTTCAGTATCAAAGGTGCTCTTGTCCATTCCGTGAAACACTGAGAAATAAGGACATTAATGCGTTACCAACAGACATACACACAACAATCCAAAAAAGGCCACGAACTATTGATACACAAACAATATAAAGGCGTAAACAATTCATGATGGTTTGCCCAACAAATGTTTTAAGATAAATCCGATGAATTAAATTATTTTCTTGGGTATTTATTATATTGAGGAACGCGTACTAGCATTGTACAAGGAAGTAGGATACAGACCTCTGTTCTTGAGGCACGGTCGGCATGGATTTGATTCCCGCTTATCAATATTTTTAGCTCAACTATTCTAGAAGACAAAAACTGATAGGTGCTTCAGGCAAGAAGAATTTTCTCCATGTTGGATGACTCTCTAAATCAGATGCAATAATAAAAAAAAAAAAAACCAGATGCAGATAATTATGAAAGGAAACTGTCAGCTAACGATTGTTATGTTTTGATTTCGATTTAGTGTGTTCGCCCATGATTGCAATCAAAATGAAAACACAATTTTCAAGTTCCAGAGCTACACAAACAATATAAAGGCGTAAACAATTCATGATGGTTTGCCCAACAAATGTTTTACTCAAATAGGTTATCATTTTCTTAGCATACCGGGTAAGCTAAGATTTGGAATCCAGACAGAAAAAGCAAAACTTATACAGAGTTAAGACATCACTTAAATTGAATACGGACGGCTCTAATAAATAAGGTGCAACACCAACGATAACTAATTTGTAAACTACAGTGATGTGTTGGTACCTACGTAAAAATGATTCTAGCAGCTACCAACGGTTCTAAGGAAAAGAACCAGTACCTACGTAAGAACCTACCTAAGAACTATAGTACATCCGACCAATTAAATACATTAATATCTAGTCCCGAGGTTATTGATCTCTTGCTTTTGGATTTTCTCGTAAAAAGTTATAGCGTAAACTTATCGGTGTCAGTTTGAAAAAAAAAAACAACCTTACCCAAACAACTTTTTGTTATTTAATAGATTACGCATTCTCTAAACAATGATTAGTATATCTATTAACATTAGAAGGAAATGTGACGAAAATCACACAATGTTGGGGTTTTGGTCATTTGTATATATTTCTTAAGTAGGTAGGCCATGTATTCTATGGAAAAGTACCGGTATCAAGAAACGTCGTCAAAAAGGTTGTTATGAATAAATATGTAGGCTTACGTACCCAAGATATGAGCTATGGGCCTATTGGCTGTATGGTCCAGCGATTGCATCACACGGTGAGTAGAAACAGAAAGTGACACATTGGAAAAGCGAGTTTAGCACTTCCTCTGTTAAACCTCTGTTACAATCACCCACTGCAGTTGTGATTTTTTACTTTACACTTTACACAACCGCCATTGAAGCGCCGTCAATGAGTGGAAACCTTTTTTGTAAGCTATTGGCGACGATCATTTCAGTGTCCCAGCCCTATACAACACTGATTCAAGGTCTTCTTTCTGGTTGTAAAAACTCAAGAAAAATTTTATACTCAAAGAATTTCTGGT